AAAGTATATAAAGCTAACAGTTGTCCAACTGTATAATTAATATAAGAATTAATATAAGAAGATAGTAAAGACTAAACTGATGTTTTCAGGATAAAATAATGGAAAGCTGACATTAAAAAGTAAAAACTGATCATTCAGTGCAGGATACTAAATATGTGTTAAAGTGATAATTTAATGGCTACATTTGAAAATCATGGAAAATTCTATATGGAAAGAAAAACAACATAAACTTTAATCTATATTAAGAATGTAAAAACACACATAAATGTGTGTGTGAAATAATTAGAAGGGTACACTGAAGGAAAATGTGTTTTGAGGTGATTGAACCACATGAGAATTTAAAGAAAAAACTTTTTTGTTGTAACGTTTGTATACTACAAGTGGGAGAAAATATTATCTAAACTATAATTGTTCACTTTAGTAGATTTTATTACCAGTCTTAAAATAGACCACAAACAATAAAAGCATAGAAGTCATAGTGAATTTTTTATTGACTTAATTCTTTGAAGGCTGTCACTGGATTCATCATCACAGCTATATTTATCAAGCACTTAGTATGTGCCAGGAACTGTGCTAAGGATCTTACATAAATTACCTCTTCTAATCCTCACAACCGGTACTATTTTTATCACTTCACAGAGGAGGTTAATTAATTTGCCTGGGGTCACATGACTAGTCAGTGATGAAGTTAGGATTTCAGCCTAGGTAGGCTGGCTCCAGAGCCATGTAATATAAGGACTGGTAATCTTTATGGAAGGAGCCCTGCTAGTGCAGTGGTTAAGCACTCAGCTGCTAACTGGAAGGGCTGTAGTTTGAACCCACCAGCTGCTCCACGGGAGAAAGATGTGGCAGTGTGCTTCTGCAAAGATTTACAGCCTTGGAAACTCTATAGGGCAGTTCTCAAAATGTGATCCTGGACCCAGCAGCCTTAGCATCTAATACAGTCTCGGCTCCACCCCTGACCTACTGAATTAGAGACTCTGGGGCTGGAGCCCAGTGACAGAGCCAGAATCTGACCCAAGGCAGTCTGCCTCTGGAGCCTGCATGCTTAACCAACCACACTGTGTATTAAGGCAGAAAGAACTTAACATAGAGGAGGGTGAAGATCTTTATGCCTTTCTGTAGCTTCTTTCAGTGGCTCACAGCAGGGCAGTGCGATGCAGTAGCTACTAAACTTTGGGATTTAAAAGGCCAGTAAGATTTAAAATAGTCCCTGGGTGGCTCAAACAGTTAAGCACTTAGCTGATAACCGAAAGGTCAGCAGTTTGAACCCACAGGCCACTTGAGGAGAAAGATGTGGCAGCCTGTTTCTGTAAAGATTACAGCCTTGGAAACCCTATGGGTGCAGTTCTACTCTGTCTTATACGGTCATTGTGAGTCAGAATCAACCCAACAGCAACCGGCAATCTTCATGGAGCATCTGTAAGCTGAGATGATACTCAAAACTATAAATCTGGAACCTTAGGGGGAATAACTGCATACATATTTCCTTCTTATTACTCTAACATTTCAATTAGATCTGTGCATCTCTATTTGTCTTACAGCTTAAAAGCCAACGCTACTTTAGAACTGCATGTTTGTAGTTTATCATAATGATGAACTAATGAGTCACTTTATGAAACAAAAGCCTGTTGTTATGCTCAAACTTGTAATTTTGTTCTTTTTAATCTTCCTAATTGTGTTAAAAATCACATTGTACTCTACCCTGTGTATCCTGCAATCTTTGACCAAAAGCAACAAAAGTTTTGGTTTTGTTCTTGTTTACTTTATGGCCAATTATGTACTATGTAAAAAAACCTAGCTGCCATCAAGTTCACTCAGACTCATGGCCACTCTATGCGAGTCAGAACAGAACTGTGCTCCATAAGCTTTTCAAAGGCTGATTTTTTTTTTTTTTTTTGGGTAAATAGATGCCGGGGCGTTCTTCCCTCTTTAACCGTTTGCACCACCTAGGGACTCCATGTACTATGTAAACCAAAAAACAACCAACCAACCAATCAAACCCATTGCGAGAGAGTGGATTCCAACTCAAAGTGACCCTACAGGACGGAGCAGAACTGTCCCACAGGGTTTCTGAGGAGCCGCTGGTGGTCGAACTGCCGATCTTTTGGTTAACAGCCGAGCTTTTAACCACTGCTCTACTACAGCTCCACGTACTATGTGGGTTGTGAGAACTAAAAATATAGAAGCTAGACCCAAAAAGAGCAGTGAAGAGATTGAAGAAAGGAGGAGGATATTTAGAAGAGGAAAAGGAAGCGGCCTAAACTAGAGTGGAAAAGAAAAAGAGAAGGGGTAGAGAGGGAGGAAGCTCATTAGGTCAGAAGCAACCTACTCTCTTCTAAGTTGTAGCGAAGCGTAGATCAACAGGTTCAGATCACTGACCTTTAAACTGTTAATCAGCTGTTTTACCAGTTCTCCGTGACTTCCCAGCGACTCCATTCCTAACCCTTTAGTTCTCTGTTGGTTGGAGTAGCCACAGTAAACACTGGGAGGAATATTCTAAACTGCTGTTCCAGTACTCAAAGCAGCCCTTACTCTCCTCTCTTGAAGGGGGCCCAAGATTCTCAACACTGTTAACTGTAAACCACCCCCTCAATTTACCGTGATTTTCTTGTTGCCGGGGATTAGGCAGTGATTCGATGGAGACTGGCGCAGTGGGACAGGCAGGGGCTGGGGTCTTGCGTATCTTCCTGTTAGGTGTCGCGTCCGTTCCCACTCATAGCGACCCTACAGGACAGAGTAGAACTACCCCATAGGGTTTCCAAAGCTGTAAATCTTTACAGGAGCGGAATGCTACATCTTTCTCCCCTTGAGTCTGTTTTGGGTTCTGGTGGGTTGGAACCATCAATGGCCGTGGAACGCTTAACCACTGCGCCACCAGGGCTCCTTTCACATCTCTTACAAAAACAAACCCGTTGCCATAGAGTTGATACCGATTCATAGCGACCCTCTAGGACAGAGTAGAATTGTCCCATAGTTTCCCAGGCTGTAATCTTTAGGAAAGCAGACTGCCACATCTTTCTCCCGTGGCGCAGCTGACCGCTTTAACTACTGCGCCACGAGGACTCCTTTACGTCTTTGAGGCAAGCCTAGACAAGACAAATACAGAAAAGCGAGAAGAGGTAGAGCGCTCAGACTCAAGGGCGCTGTAAGGTAGAAATTGGGTTAGAAGAAGGTGCCAAGGAGAGAAAAGATGCCCTGAGGGGAACTGTCCTCAAAGGGACTGTCAGCCATAAATAAACTGGCTCAAAAGCCACCCGACAGTCGAGATTGTGATTACGCTACCGTAGCAACCGTAGCTTCTCGCGAGACAAACATCGCGCCTGCGCATTGCCGTTTTAGGGTACAGCCTGGGGGCGTGGGTGGTTCCATCCCCGGTTCAACTCTCAGGTGTTTCTAGATTGGGTTTGGCTTTGTCGCTTCCGCGTCGGGCTACCCTTTGGGCTGACTTTCCCCACTGGGAGTGGTTTAACTCAGGGTAATGAAATTCAAAGATATCTGAGCGATTCTGCACCGCCCCATTTGTAAGGCGGGGCCTGAGAAAAGGCGAGGGCTCTGCGCACGCGCATCGTGGGTGCGCGTGTAGTTGCAGCCTTGGCTAGACGTTGTCCTTCGTGTCGCCATCGTGAGTTGGAGCTGGGCAAGGGGGATGTAAAACAGGTAAGGGGGCCCGTCCAGGGTGGGATCGGGCCTGTGCTCCCCACCCCCAGCCCCCGCCGTCGCGCAAAGCGTCCATGGCTTTCCCGGATGTCTTCTGCGCCGCCGCTGGACCCGCCCGCCTTCCCGCCCCGTCTCTGTGCTTCAGCGTATCGTTCTCAGGCCGGAATGTGTCCCCCCAAACCTGTGTTGAACATTTGTTGGGTACTAGGAATGGAAAGATAAAACGCGATCCTGGCCTTTCAGTACTACAGAGTCTGGAAGTGGAGACAACAAAATAATTACAGTTCCGTATGCTAAGTAGTAAAGTAAGGAATCCTGGTGGCGCAGTGGCTAAGCGCTGGGCTGCTAACCGAAAAGTCGGCAGTTCGAACCCATCAGCCTCTCCCGCTCTGCGGGACAAAGTAGGCAGTCTGCTTCCATAAAGATTACAGCCTTGGAAACCCTATGGGGCAGTTCTGCTCTGTCCTGCAGGGGTCGCCATGAGTTGGAATCGACTCCACGGTACACCACCGCAACAAAGTACTAAATAAAGTAGGAAGGCACCAGGTACAGTGGTGGCATACAGTAGGGAGGGTTTAACTCTCACGAATTCAGTGACGGAGAACTGGTGCCGTCATGCCCTCAATTAGAGTCGTCCTTGTGTCCTTCCTTAGTTGATCACTAGGTTGAGTAGATTTTATCTCCTATTTCAACTAGCGTGTATTTCTCACCATCTCCTCTGCGACAACTCCAGTGCAGGCCACCATCATTTCTTACCTGGCCTACTCCAGTAGCCTCTTTGCTGCTTCTAGTCTTGCACCTTGCAGGCCATCCTTTGCTGTGAATCACAAAAATCTTCCTGTAGTACCGTTCTAGTCATGCTACTCCTCTGCTTTACACGTAACAGCCCCTTCTCACTGCAAGGCTCGTAAGGGTCTTCACCATCTGGTCTTAGCTGCCTTACCTAATACTTCACCACTTTCTCCACCTTCTCTGCTGCGGCGACATGATTTCCTTTAATGTGGCTCCCTGGAAAACCCTTCTCCATTTCCTACTCTTTTTGGTAGGTATTCTTCAGATACAGGGTAAAAGGTCACTTCCTCCAGGAGGCCTTTTCTGACCTCCTAAAGTAAGTTGTTAGTTGCTGTCCTGACGACCCCATGTGTGCGGAGGAGAACCGTGCTACATAGGATATTCAAGGCTGTGACTTTTTGGAAGCAGATCACTAGGCTTGTCTTCCAAGGCATCTCTGGGTTGGTTTGAACGGCCATCCTTCAGGCTAGCAGTCAAGCGCTTAACTGCTTGAGCCACCCAGGGACTAGCAAGTCAATCAGGCCTCTGTTACACGTTCCCTTAGCCTTCTGTTGTTCCCTGATCTGTTATTACCTGTTTGACATGTCTTCTTCATAGACTCCAAGCTCAGTGAGGCCAGTGACTGTACTTAGCTTGTTTAATACTTAATCTTTATGGCCTGGTGCATTGTGGATAATCTATGAATATATGAGTAAGAAAGGGGTCATTGGGCTGAGGGTGGGAGTGGTATTTCTGGCAAAAGGGATAGTAGGAATAAAGGCACGGATGTGAGAAACTGTTGGCCTCATTAAATAGTATGTGGTTCAATGTTGGGCTGTAATGTGCATGGTGGGGCATAAGGAGAAAAGCCGGTGGGGAGACAGGGCCAGAGTGTGAGGGCCTTGAACGTCACCTTAAGGAGTTTGCAGTTGATTCTATAAGTAGTAGAGGCCTCCAAGACAGCTCAAAAGGCACCTGAGGGAGGCCTTCCCATTTTACCGCTTTCTCCAGAGCTGTTAACTTCTCTTTATCAGTACAGGTATCCCCAGCTTACGATGTATTCAAGTTATGACGAACCGCACTTATGACTTTTTTTTTAATCAGTAGTAGTATGTTCTACATAAGTGTTGTTGTATTTTGCTGATAGTATATTTGTAAGTTTATACGTAATGTTTCCAACCCCCAAACACAAATAAAGATCAGATTTATAAAGATACTGTTAATAAAAGGCAATAATGAAAATTTAGAAACTTAAGTCAGAACCGATTTACCACAGAGTGTCAGAATGGAACCCTGTCGTAAGTCGAGGACTACCTATACTTTGTTTTTGGATTATATTGCATGAGACTTTGCTTATTCTCACAACTTGGTTCTCTTTTTCTCCACACTAGATTTTGAAGACAGGCGTTAATACATATCTTGCTTTCCCTCCAGAGCACAAAACTGTAAGTACTGACCCCATGTTGTTTGAATGCTGAGATGCATTAACTGACCTGCAGTTTGGCAAGAGCTTTGCTATATCATCATGTGTCTTGCTCCTTAGTCATTTATTTCCCTGTCCTTGACCATCTTCAATCTGATGCCAGCCTCTTCTGACCAGTATATTGGCTTTGGATGAGCTATTTTTCTTCCTGATTTCTCTGAGCTTGAGGGGGAACAGGGAGTAGAGGTGTGGGGATGGGGAGGACTGCACAGTGAGAGTGGTGTGATGGCAGCAGAGATGCCAAGTGCCTGTTGTTGGTAGTTGCCGTCAAGTCAGCCCCCGACTCCTGGTGACCCCATGCACAATGGGATCAGATCCATAGGGTTTTCATTGGCTGGTTTTCAGAAGTAGATCAGCAGGCCTTTCTTCCTAGTCCGTCTTAGTCTGGAAGCTACATTGACACTTGTTCAGCATCATAGCAACACACAAGCCTCTGCTGACAGATGGGTAGTGCCTGTGCTTGAGGTGCACTGGCCAGGAATCAAACCCAGTGGGTAATACTGACACAAATGAGGTTTCATTTCTCACCTTAAGGAGCTGAATTTTGGTTTTCTGTGAGAAGGTGACTAGGAGGAACATCAGAGACCACTAGAGGTTGGGTGACCAGTTCTCAGGGCTGGCAAATGGGGAAAAGGCAGCCTTTCCAACACCAGCGATTCCTAATTATGGTTATCAGGTTCACCTGGGAAGCTGTTTTTTACAAGTACAGATACCCTGGCCCCATCCCCCAGAGATGCCAATTCAGTAGATCAGGGGTGATTACCAGCCATCTGTATGCCTTTAAAAAGCCACAGATGATTTTTGAGTTTTAGCTGGGGTTGAAAGAGCATAAAATTTGCATTTGGAAAACTAATTGTGACTTTGGGCAAGATATGTAACCTGAGTCTGTTACCTCATCCACACACTGTGGATTCTCCAAGAATTTTGTGAGAGTCAAATAGTATGTTGAGAAAGTGCTTTGTAAATTCTGACCCACTCCACAAAGACACTTGTTCTTCAACATCAGTATCCAGCCTGGTAAGTGGAAATTTATTTGGAGGAGACTTAATCCTGCATAGGGTACTTCAGGGAGGGCAGGCCTAGGTGGGATAATGACCTGGAACGAGGGACCATGAGTCATCTGGTTCCCTGAAAATAGGGACTGTTCCCAAACTCTAGACCTTTCCAGGTCAGTTTAACTTCCTTTAGTTCTGCGGTTGTGGGGCCCGTATGGATCTCAGCCAAGTCCGTGGAAGGAGAGGAAGAAAATTGAGGGAAGAGAGTGGTATATGCAGTTGCCTCTGGGATAGATAAACAGGACACGCTCCTTAGACTAGTGGTTAATAACATTTTCTCCCATAAGGATCACTCTATTTTTTCTTAATGGATTACTATCTTTAAAATTTTATTAAGAAGTTTTCCTAGTTTTAGTCAATTGCCAGACAGAACAATCAGCTTGGAATAGCCACAGGAAGGAGGAACGTGTCCGTGTGTCTCAGTTTTGGGAAGGATGTGCAAGAAACAGTGACTGCACTTGCGGAGATGGTCTGGGCCCCAGCGAGGAAGAGACTTACACAAGGGCACAGACTGAGAATATTTGGATTTTTAATCATGTGCATATATTACTGTTCCAGTGTCTTTAAAAAATAATCACACCTAGTTAATTATGAATGGCAGAGGTCTCTAGGAGCCCTGGTGGTGCAAGTGGTTAAGTGCTCAGATGCCCACTGGAAGGATGGCAATTCAAACCCACCTAGTGGCTGTGCAGGAGAGAGACCTGGGAATCTGCTCCTGTAGAATATTCCAATTGTGCTGCTATTGAGTTGATTCTGACTCACAGCGACCCTATAGGACAGAAGAGAACTGCCATAGGGTTTCCAAGGCTGTAATTTTTACAGAAGCAGACTGCCACATCTTTCTCCTGTGGAGGGGCTGGTGGGTTCGGACTGCTGACCTTTTGTCTACCAGCTGAGCGCTTAACCGCTGCGACACCAGGGCTCTTCCGTAAAGATTACAGCCCAGAAAAAACTGGGGGCAGTTCTGCTCTGTCACATGGGGTCACTATGAGTCAAAATTGACTCCACGGCACCTAACAACAACAAAGGTCTCTGTGGCCCTCAGGTTGTGAGCTCTATGCAGGCACTCAGTGAGTAGTTGTTGAATGAATGCATGAATGAAAGTCCAACTAGAGAGCAATTTAGAAAGTGGTAACAAATCTATAAGATTAATACCATACAGCCATTAAACGGATAATTATGAACAAGTAGAAACATGGAACATTTTTAATAAGTGAAATGAACAAATAGAATTCCACTCTGATTTCAATAATGTAAAACATATATTGCCTATATATGAATAAAAGACAATCACTACGAGCAAATGGAGGAAAATAAAATCACTTAACCTTAAAAGAGGTTAAGTGTATGGTCACAGAATTGAGCCTATATAATTAGGCTTGCTGTAGCTGATCACGAATCAGAGTGCAACCATGATATTCTTGACATGCATTGCTAATTAACTTTAATTTTCCTTTGTCATTTTGCTTCTCTATGAAGGCTTTTCAAAATGGCTGCAGCTACTCAAGCACCAGGGAGGGGATCTATTCGGAAGACAAGACCTTTAGTTGTAAAGACATCGTTGAACAACCCATATACTATCTGCTGGAGTACTCTGGAGCGAGAGGATATGCACTTCATATTACAGACACTTGAAAACAGATTTAAATACATTGGACTCCGGAAGATTGAGGATAAGAAGAAAAGGAAAAAACAGCCTTCTTTCCAAAAACAAAGCAGAGAAAAATGTAACACAGATGTTGATATTAGTGAGGATCTGAAAGAGAAAAAGCCAGATGATAACCAGCAAGTGTCAGGGTGGACCCCCGTGCATGTCAGGAAGCAGCTTGCCATTGGAGTCAATGAAGTGACCAGAGCACTGGAAAGGAATGACCTACTTTTAGTCCTAGTGTGTAAGTCAGCCAAGCCTGCCATCATCACATCACACTTGATTCAGTTAAGCTTAAGCAGAACTGTGCCTGCTTGTCAGGTTCCCCGTCTCAGTGAGAGAATTGCACCTGTCATTGGCTTAAAATGTGTCCTAGCCTTGGGGTTCAAAAAGAATACCACTGACTTTGCTGATGAAATAAAAGTTATAATTCCCAGAGTACCCAGTTTAAATGTACCATGGCTTCCAGACAGAGTTGAAGACTCAAGGGAAAATCTAGGGACTGAATCTTTGGAAAGGCAAGACAAAGAGATTTTGGAAACTTCATTTGAAGACCTCTCTAAACACAAGAGGAAGCTGGTTGAAGGTCAGCAGGCTTCTGCTGTAGCGTTACAACCCCTGAAAATAAAGAAACTAATTCCAAACCCTAATAAGATAAGGAAACCACCCAAAAGTAAAAAAACTACTTTGAAGTAAACCTTGAATAAACTTGTCATTTTACACAATTTGTAAACTGACACTTGTAAAGAAACCTTGGAACTGATAAAATGAACTGCTGTTACATATATTCTTAGGGTACTGTTTGCTAGTGTTCCATTCAAATGTGTAAGACTCTCTGTAGAGCACAGATATGCTGAGGTTTAAAAACGCTAACTGCAGAAAATATTCAAAAGTATGAATATCAAAATAAAAGTTTATTGAAACTCATGTCCATGCTTGTATAAATTTACTTTTTAAAAAGGCTGGTACAATGGAAGCAAGAACATCTGTGTTCTACAACACTTAATATTTTCTATCAAACTTGAAAAATGTGCCATAGTCAGCCTGGTTCTAGTTAGTAGGGTAAGTGAAACTGGATTGGAGATGCATTATCAGTTTTAAAGGAAAGTTACTAAATGCTAATACAATATGCTGTTTTCAGGAACAATACATCATTTTTGTACTTCATGCCAATTTGCCTTTCTTTGTAGGTAGACACAGGCTTGGGAGAAAGGCTTAATATCTACAGAAAAAGTCAGACAAGGTATTTCAACCAGTTAGAATTCACCCCTTTACATGGTTAACTTATTTTCTTGGGAATCTAGCATGTATAAAAAATATGGTAATTAAGTGAAATACTGCAGTGGTTAAGAGCTTGGCTGCTAACCAAAAAAAAAAGGTCAGCAGTTCGAATCCACCAGATGATCCTTGGAAGCCCTATGGGACAGTTCTCTGTCCTACAGGGTTGCTGTGAGTCAGAATTCACTCAACAGCAACAGGTCTGGTTTTTTTTTTTTTAGGTGAACTATGGCAACGAGGTGGGCCTGGGCAATGATAGGGTGCCCTTCACATCAGGAAATGGAGCACGGGAGCATAAGTTACCTTCCATAATTTACAGGGAAGCTATGGGATTGCCAGAATTTATTTTCAGCCAAAATTCTGGTTGACTCATAAATTATGGTACTTTAGTTCATTTAAATTTTTTAGTTAGTGTCATCTTGGGGTAAAAAAAGGAAGGATACTTCATAGAATATTTTGGTTATAGGATGCAGGACAATGTCTTGAATCTATAAGACATTATATATTACATTTAAATTTACTGTTTTAATAGCCACCTTATAAACACAAGCAGTTTTACCAGTTGTCTATTTCAAAATGTTCATTGGTAATATGCTTAAATTACAGAGAGGCAAATATATCATTTATTATATTTTAAGATAACTTGGTAAAAGAATAAGAATTCTACAACTGGAATTCTGTAAATGAATCTTTAAGGAACAGTTTCATCATGAGATAGCTCATGGCAAACTGGCAATTCTGCAATTATTTGAAAACCTACTTTGTATGGGGCTTTGCTATAAAAATGAGTGGAACATAGTTCCTAACAAAAGCCTTGACTCCAAATTAAGTTAAAATCACCTTAATGCTGGTGTCTTAAAAAAAAATTCAGTTTTGCTTCTTGAAACTTTTATCCCTATTAAGAAAGAACGGTAGTGCAATTGGGTTTGAGCCATCCTAAATAGAAGTCTTCCGCTGGGTCTTCAAGAAAGTATACAGTGCTAGTCCCAACTATGCACTACTCTGTGGCCCAGGTGTCCTCTAGTGGCAGTCCTAGGGATCCCACAAGCCGTAGGTTAGTCATTAGGATAATGGAAAGCTGTAGAAAGTAGCTTTCAACTTGAGGCCTAGTGTAACTCGGGGGTCAACAAACTTCACTTCTGTAAAGGGCCAGATAGTATTGGTTTTAGGCTTGTTGACTAGTCTGTCACAGCAGCTCAACTCTGCACTTGTAGTGTGAAACCAACAGGCAATACATGAATGAATGTGGCTGTGTTCCCAAAAAACACACTATATGGACACTGAAATCTGAATTTCACGTCATGTCACAAAATGTTCTTCTTTTGTTCCCCCCTGCCCAACCGTTCAAAAAGGTAAAAACCATTCCTTAGCTTGTGGGCTGTACAAAATCATGCAGGTGGCCAGATTTATCCCATGGGCTATAGTTTGTTGACCCTTGGTATTGATTGGCTTCACGTGACTACTGATAACATGAAGGAAATGCTATTACGTTGTCTAAAATAATTAAATTTTTCTGGACTGAACAGCCTAGGCACTGGTATAGTAAAGGTAGGAAAAAGTATCTACTTTTGTGGTATCTGAGTCAAGCCCAGTCTCTGTGCCCTCATTTAGCATCTTCCTTTTTTCCTCCTTGGACTATTGGCAATATATACATATATATGTACACTGTGAAAGTTTTTCAAATTCTAGGTAAAAACACCATCAGTAACAAAATTATGGATACCTATTTACAAATAAGACATTTTCCATTAGCATGACAGCATTAATGATAAAGTCAGCTTAAAGGAATGTGTGCAATTCTGCATAAGTAATAAAAATATTCAAACTATCAATGTCCTAACAGCACTAATAAATTCCACTGGGCATTTCTTTTGACTTTGAGCTTTTATTTTCTTTTCCTCACATAGCCTTGATGTTGCCGAGAAGAACCTGGAGTCTAAGCAGCAGCAGAAAAGTCTAGTTAGTCATGGGTGTATACTCTTTCAGAAAGCACACTTAATGTTTGCACAAAACTTTGCTTTTGAACCAGGTTCACTGATCCATGAAGATCAAAGTAGAAATTCGTGTGTTTATTGATTTGGCAACTTTGCTTATGGAGAAATAAATGTACCAGTCACCAGCACATTTTATATTGCTCCATGTTTAAATATTTACCACTTGTCATTGCATTACAAAAGTGTTGATTCCATAAATTTTTCCAATGATTATCATGTGAGGCAATATTAAGTAAAATTTTCAGAATGGACCTTTCATTCACACTGACAAGTATACCACCACTTAATAAATAGAAATGCAGCAGTCTTTATCTTCACACAATAGCAAAGAATTTCTTACATGATTCCATAACTTTTCTGCAGTCCATACAAAAACAGTTGCTTTGCTAGAAGTGGAAAAATACCTTCTCTTGATCAAGAGACAACCAAAAAACTGAAAATTAAGAGGAATGTGCTCTTTGTACCCTTTCATCCCTCCCACAAATGGGTAAACAGTGCAAAAATGATGAAGTTTTACGTTCTAGCTAGAAATGTATAGTATTGGTCACATATGGATGTTTTTTCATCTTTTCTGATTGTTATCAACTGCTTCAATTTCACTTAAGTTGTGCTTTTATTCTTTGGAATGGCAGTTCCAGGAGTCATTAAATAGAATATTAACAAATGATGATGTCAAGAGTTCTAGAAATAAAAATATCCACCTACTGTAATACAAGTCCAACCTACAAGAAGGGAAGAAATAGTAAGAATAAGTAAGCAAGAAAAGCAAATGATAATGTATTATAATAGATTTGTATTTTTAAAAAGCCACTTAAAAAATCCCAAAAACAAAACCTCTTAAAAATCCTAAGGGAAGTAAGCATGGAATTTTCTAGGTAAATTTATTTCTTATGTTTACAAATGCTATGTCAATTTCACTTACCTTTTCAGAATCTGTTCCTGGACACCTCCAATTGTACAGGTAATACTGCAAATTGCCATCTCCTATACCAAACTTGAGTTTTTCCAAGAATGTCTTATTTTCCATTAAATCTAGTGCATTGAATACATCAAATCCTTTCTGCCAATGTAAAAAGAATTTAAAATTAAAAATAATGAAAGGACCAAAGTGCTCTCTATATTATGCATTTTGGTATAGCATTTAATTCCTCTATTAAAAGCTCCAATACTAGCAGTGAATTTGATGGAGTCAGCAAGATAATCCAGAAATGCTGAATCAAAAAATTTGATATGATGGCTAACTCTGACACAGTAAAATAATTATTAAGATTTCAAAAATATTTTGTACCTGTTTTAGAAGGGAACTAGGGGGCTCCATCTCCAGGAATTGTTAGTTATTGAACATTGTAATTTTTGACATAGCTGAAGCTACAGCCAAGGAACCAAAGTTGTAAAGACTTTAAATAGTATATTATGTCTTGGGTTCATATTAAGAAATAATTTCAGTAAAATTTTCATAGTTAAATTTCTTTAATATATTAGACAATGATAACATAAAATGTGATATAGATGAAGCACTAAAGTTTCATTTCTTGGGTTTTTACCTTAAATAAATGATTACTGGCCTTTTTTTGGGAAATAGTTGAAAATGAGCAATAGGACCAAAGAATCTGAGGGTAATGTTGATTTTTGGATCTGTAAGTAAGAGAGTTTTTAAAATGTCTTTAGTTATCAGATAGTAGGAAGCTGCTTTTGATATGCTGTTCTTAATGTCTTATGAACAATATTTTCTCACATTTGATAATTACATCAAAATGCTGATTTCAATTTCTTTTTTAAAGGAAAAATGATTATTTGTAGCAAAAATTTGACAATTATCCTATCCTAACTTTTACACAGAGGAAAGAGAAAACTAATACAATATAGAAAGGTACATTTTGAATTGAATTCCTTTAATTTTAAAATTCAGAGACTATTTAATTGAAACAAAAAACTTATTGCTGCTAATTATACACTGCAACACAATACCTACTCATGTATTTTCCTTACATTATGGGTTTTATGTATTCTTATAGAAGTGTTAGAAGTAGCTAATAAGTATAAAATATCTTCGTTTTTTAAGTTGCAGAAGAATTCATGATGAAAATAGCCACTGAAATTTTAAAAGAAACTCTTATCAAAAGTATTCCGTTGACTTATGGTCAACAGTAAAAAAAAATTACGAATGAATTCCACCTGTGTGGAAAAAATACAGTGAGGTGAGATGTTTTATACATTTTGACATACTATTTTGAGAAAATGGCACAAAGAAGCGATGAGTTGCTTACCAACTTTGCTATAATGAGCGCGTCATTCATGAGGTCTAAGAGAGGCGTTTCTGTGTGAATGTTGTAGAAGGAGTAAGCAGCTTTGAGGCTCTTGTGGACAGGGTGATGCATGACTGTTGAAGGGAGTGTGTAGAAGCTGAGGAAGTCAGTTAATTTACCACTTGAGCTCTAAAGAACAAAGATGATGTCAGGTCAGTATCTTGAAAAAATTTAATCCACACATTTAAGCTAACTTTTTGATCTTTGATTTGCACCATAACTTTCTGTGAGGATGGAAAGCAATAACTCCTTATACTTCCTTCTTCGTAGTCTGATTTGAAGCCCCTTAGAGTATGTTGAGGAGCCCTGGTGGTGCAGTGGTTAAGCGCTCAGCTGCTAACTGAAAGGTTGTAGGTTCAAACCTACCAGCCGCTCTGCAGGAGAAAGATGTGCCAGTCTGCTTCCATAAAGATTACACAGCCCTGGAAACTCCATGGGACAGTTCTACTCTGTCCTATAGGGTCGTTATGAGTCAGAATTGGCTAGAAGGCAATGGGCTTGGTTTTTTTTTTTCTTAAATAGTATGTTGGAAGTCCCTGGGTGGTGCAATTAGTTAAGGGCTGGGCTATTACTAACTGAAAGGTTGGTGGTTCGAACCCACCCAGAGGCACCTTGGAAGACAGGCCTGATGACCTGCTTCCGAAAGGTCACAGCCTTGAAAACCCTATGGAGAACAGTTCTATTCTGTAACACATGGAGTCACCATGAGTTGGAATTGACTCAAAGGCAACTGGTACACTACGCTGGGTAAAAGCCCAAAAGAGCAGGGAGCTATCTTAGCCTAAGCGATAGCTGGCTATTTGCATAAAGTTCTTAGGAAGTAGAATATTCTAAAAAGAAAAGCTTCCCTCCAGTTGACTAATGAGTGATAAAAGTAGATTTATTGTTTTTGCAGAAATAATAGTTCTAAGGATCAGAAGCCTACCTTCTCCAGCTAAAAGATAAAATATAATATCTAACACTTGGCTAGCACAGAACAAGAATTTTATCAGCTTAACGTGAAGTTAAATATTGAGTCTGGAAGCTATTTTTTGGAAGTTTGTGAAAGGTATTGGTTCTGCACCAAAACACATGTATGTGACTATCTCAGAAATTTGCAACTATCAAAACAGGAGGCAGTCAATGGGGTTTATTTCAGCATCACTGGCATAACTTTCAATAAAAGAAAATTAGCCAGTACTGTTTGGGTTGTTTTGATGAGGTATAGTGGCCTTGCAGTGTTTTGAATTACACTGCTGAGGAGGCTGGGCCACATGCATGCCATTGCTAGTAGTTTTTTCAGTAAAAAGAAAATTCCAAAGAGATGGTTTATCTGGTTTTTGAATGCTTCTGGTTCATTAGACCTTTTTTCCAGATGTGAAGAAATTAAAGGGGTTAAACTAAAGTGATTCTCTATTGCTGTGCATTAGCATCTCAGTGTTAGAGATGAATTAAAGACCTAAACATTCAGCTTTAATGAGGATTTTACATTCTCCTATGAACTTACTGAGTTCACTGAGGGCAGCTTAGAACCTGATTAGCTCCTCCTCCCTCCCAGTTATCATTATCTGCTTTCTAAAGAACTGATTCTTCTTATTCACATCTACAATAAAATTACTCTTTCCTTCTTTGGTGCTAAAATGTTACTAAAATTATTATCCAGCTTTTGAGAAAGAGTAGAATAATCATCTCCTTTGGTTCCTCCCACGGTCCTTCATATCCAATTAACTGTAAAGACTGCTTGACTTAAAAAAAATCTACCCACAAAGAACACCATGACTTGGTGGTTTATATGTAAGTTCTATCCAATCTCTTATAAACAGATAACCCCTACATTATATAAACTGTTCTAGGAAAAAGAAATAGAGGGCAAGCTCTTCAACTCATTAGCTAGTCTAACTTTGATATCAAAATATGACAAGGACAGGGTACAAAAGGGAAACTACAGGCCAACCTCAATCATGAGTATAGACGAAGAAATCCTAAATATTAGGAAACTAAATCTAATGTCTGTGTGTGTATGTGTATAAATAAAATATACCATGACTCAGTAGGGCTTAAACCACAAATGCAAAAATAGTTCCATTTGGCAAACAATTTAAACATACCATTTCAACAGGTGCAGAAAAAGCATGGAATAAAAGTCAACATCAATTCATGATTAAAAACTCTCAACAAGCTAGAAACAGAAGGAAACTTCTTCAACTTGATAAAGGGCATCCACAAAAGACCCAGTTAATATGAAAAAAAAACAAAAAACAGTGCTATCTTGAAAATCTCCCTAAGACTGTTAACAAGTCAAGGATGTCCACTCTCCACCTTTATTCAACATTGTACTGGATATGCTAGCCAGTGCAATAAGGCAAGAAAATAAAAAGCAAAAGATTGGAAAGGAAGACTAAAGCTGTCTTGTTTCACAGATGACACAATTATCTATATAAACTTCCTTAAAGATCTACTAAAATTAATAAGTAAACCTATCAAGGTTGCAGTATACAAAGTCAATATACAAATATCAATACCACTTCTATACATTAATAACAAACAAATACAATTCAAATTACAATAATATCAGAAAACATGAAATACCTAGGGATATCTTGAATAAAAGACACACAAGACTTTCCCACCAAAAACTACAAGAGAAAAATTTTAAAAGACCTAAATTAATGGAGTTATATAATGTTCATGAATTATATAACCCAGTGTTGTTAAGATATCAATTCTTCCAAAACTGATCTATAAATTCAATACAATCACAACCAAAATCCCAGCAGGCTTTTGTGGTAGAAATCGACAAGTTGATTCTAAAATTTCTATAGAAATACAATGATCTAGAAGATCCAAAACAATTTTGAAAAGGAAAAACTATAAAGCCATAGTAATCAAGACCGTGGGGTACTGAAATAAGGATAGACATGCAGATCCATGGAATGGAACAGAGTCCAGAAATAGTCCCACACATATCCAGTCAATTGATATTCGGTAAGGTGCCATGATAATTCAATGGGGAAAGGATATTCTTTTCAACAAATGGTGCTGGATCAACTGAACAGTTGTATGAAAAAAACAAAAAAGAATCTTCACCTCTATCTTACACTAAAAGTAATTCAAAATAGATCTTATACCAAAATATAAAAGCTAATGCCATAAAGCTTCTTGAAGATAACATAGGATAAAATCTTTATGATTTTAGGGTAGGGAAAGGTTTCTTTAGACAGGACAAGGAAACACTAATGGAAAAAAAAAAAAGATAAACTGGGCTTAATGGTACCAAAAAGATACCATTAAGAAATCTGAAAGGTAAGCCACAGACTCTGATAAAATATTCATTACATACAGACAGAAAGATATAGATTACAAAGGTGTTATATCCACAACATACACGTAACTCTTACAACTTAATAACACAAACGATCCAATAAAAACTCCTGAAGAAACACTTCACAAAAGAAGATATATACATGTTAAACAAGCACATGAAATGATACTTAACAGTATCAGTCATCGGGGAAATGAAAATTAAAGCCACAGTGAGATGCCACTAGACTGGTTAAAATTTAAAAATACACAATACCAGGTGTTAATGAGGACATGGAACAATGGAACACTCATACATTGCTGGTGGGAGTGTAAAATGGTACAACCACTATAGAAACCATTGGGCAGTTTCTTATAAACTTAGACATACACCTACTCTCTTTTCTCTTTTCAAGAATAAATAAACCACTGGTACACAAATGTCCATAGCAGTTTTTCCTCATAATATCAACCAACCAACCAACCCAATGCTGTCGAGTTGATTCTGACTCATAGTAACCCCACAGGACAGAGTAGAACTTCTCCTTAGTTCTTCCAAGGAGTGGCTGACCTTTTG